ACACTTATTTACATATTCAATTCTTAGAGTTACAAATTGGAGAAGCTTCCCTTGCGGTAAAAGACTAAAATAAAGCCCCTTTCCTAGGTAACTTAATGCACCATTATTCCATGGGAAAAAGGGTATCGCTCACTTTATGGCCTTGTTAGGTACGCAGTTTCTTAGAAATTGCTGCCTTTACGAACTGTTCTCGCGCAGAAGCTTTACGGGCCCAAGTGATCACCCACCCCTATTGTGGGCTATCTCACCTCGAGCTGTGGGTTCAAATTCTGCCCATAACTTGTAAGTCCCCTTCACCTAATTCCCTTCATTCAAAAATAAATAAATAAATAAATTATTCTCAGATGTTTTATAGATTAAACTACCATTAAGTTAATCAAGATCGACATGATCCTCACGCTCCACTCGAGCGACATTAACTTTGAATTAGTGAAATTACTTTCGTAAGTTACAGTTTCGAATCTTATGAATTTTTTTTCTTTTTTTCCATTTTTTCTTCCCAAAAAATGTAATCTTGTTAAGAAAAAAGCTAATCAAGGTCAACACTTTCTTGAAATGTTACCTTCTAATGGTACTAAATTTAGTAACTAAATACACTATAATAATTATGAGATTATCATTTATCAGTTATACTTATAAAAAATGAGGTAAGTTAGAAAAAGAAAGGTAAAAAAAATTTACTGATCTAGTACCTAATTTTTTATAGATATCCTGATAAACATTTTCCCTAATAGTTATTGAGAGAAACAGCTTCCCAACCAACAATATCCTTTAGAAACTGAAAATCATCCAAATTCACCGGTCAAATACTTACTTTTAGTCTTTTACTTTAATAAATTTATAGATCTTAACTGTTTACTTTATATTATAACACTTTTATCCCTTCATCTATACAAATTAAAAAAAATAACCCTTCTTTAATATTTATTAACTGACTGTTAATTCTGTTAACTGACTGTTAGTATTTCGTTATAAAAAATATGAAATTTAAATTCAATTTTATTTATTAGTTTTGCTAACGAAATGCTAACAGTTAATTAACAAAATTAACGGTTAACTACTAGAATTAACAATCAATTAACAAAATTAACAGTTAATTAACAAAACTAATAATTAGTTAATAAAACTAGCAAAACGTTGTAACTTGACGTTAGGTAAGAGTTATTTTTTTCAATTCATATAGGTAAATGGCTAAAAATATCATGATATAAGGTAAATGGTTAAAATTTATAAACTTATTAAAATAAGGCAGAACCCTCAAATCACCCCCTGACAAATATGGGTAGGGACGGATCCACCCCTCAAAAAAAAGCAGGGACAAATGACACCCCAAAAGTATCGATTTACCCAAATCGATCATTATCTAACAGTTGACGTCATCACCGTCACGATCTCCGTTTAGCCTGTGCCAGCTGTCGTTTTTTTCACACGTTGGATGCTGATGTGTACCAATCCCGCCCGTTTCAGAGCAATGGAGCATGGAATGTCAGTCATTTGTGCTGCAGGGAATAATGGCCCAATTCAAAGCTCAGTAGCCAACACAGCCCCCTGGATTGCTACCATCGGTGCAAGCACGCTCGACCGGAGGTTTCCAACCGTAGATCGAATGGGTACCGGAAAACTCCTTTACGGAGAATCATTGTCCCCAGGAAAGCAGATGCCAGGTTCTGGAAGTGAACTTAAAGTTGTTTACGTTACCAAAGGGAACACGGGAAGTGAATTTTGCTTAAGAGGGTCCCTTCCAAGATCAAAAGTTCGAGGAAAGATGGTGGTCTGTGATCGAGGTGTGAACGGTAGGGCAAAGAAGGGTGAAGTAGTAAAGGAGGCTGGTGGTGCTGCAATGATACTGGCAAACACAGTGATAAACTTGGAAGAAGACTCTGTGGATGCCCATGTCTTGCCAGCAACTTTGCTTGGCCACGCAGAGGCAATACATCTTAAGGCATACATAAACTCCACCAGGAATCCCAGAGCTCGAATCATCTTCGGAGGAACCGTCATCGGAAGATCAAGAGCACCTGCAGTAGCAGAGTTTTCATCTAGGGGGCCAAACTTATTTGACCCTTCAATCCTTTTCTTTCTGCCCTCGTTTGGTTCACAAGGACAGCATTGCAAGAGAGAACTAGCTTGCAGGGATCATGGGAAGAGCTCCATGCTGTGACAAAG